GAACCCACAGGCTGACCACCCCCTGACACAGCTCCATGCTGTTCCCTCGGGTCCCATCGCAGTTACCAGAGAGCAGAGCTCAGCATTGCCCTTCCACTCTCCTTGTGAAGAGCAGTAGACCGCTATTGGGCCTCTGCTCAGCCTCCTCTGCTCTGGGCTGAACAAACCCAGCCACCCCTCATACACCTTACCCACTACATCCTTCACTATTCTGTAGCCCTGAAGTACAAATGGTAGGCATACAAGTAGGGTTGGTACACAAGTTTTATTAAAGGAAAGAGATATACAAGCTGGGCTTGTGACTCTAGAGGCTGAATCATTTGGCCTGTGGCTTGCTGTGGAAAGCCCTCACTCTCCCCAGGGCTGTGGTTTTGATGTTCCCTGAGTCTTCAGCTTCCCCTGGTGCTCCTCCAGGCTCAGGGACAGACTTGCAGCCAGTTAGAAAGGCTGTCACATTACCAGGCACACACTGCATGAGGCTGTCTGCCACTGTGCCATTAAAGGCATGTCTTCTACTCACCCCAAAGGTCAGACATTGTGCTGTACAGGCACTATAAGTAAGTTCTTATAACTTGGACTGTAGAACACAACAGAAGCCTTGCATTACCAGTCATTAGTGAAAGCCACAAATTTCAGAAATAACCACTTCCCAGAGATGACTTTTAAATATAATACTTCATTCTGAGAAGAACAAAAATGAATTTTATCTTTTTTTTTCCCTCTTGTTGCCTCTGTAATGTTAAAAACCAATGGTTGAAACCACCATAATCTATGTTAGTATTTTGCATAGCATAACCTTCAGTGAAGAGCACTGCACAGCCCAGATTCTAAGAAAACTGGTTTTGTTTTGACAAAGTTATGAGCATTCAGAAATTACTCACTGCACACACACAACAGACCTTTTGTTAAGTCTAACTGGGAGCATATAAAGTGATATTACTGTATGTGCATGGCTGATTGTGCTGTGTGTTGGAACTGCAGAGCCTGTGAGCAAGCTCAGACTGGGAAGGTCCCTGAGCATCTGAGGATAGCTGAAAGTGATTTTCCTGAAGTTCTCTGAAGCACTCAGAGAGTGGGCTCAGAGTAGTGCTGTAAGCATTCTCCTCCTGCCAGAACCATTCCAAACTTTTTTTTTTTCTTTTCACCCCTCCTTCCAATACATAATTTGTAGCTTCCCTTACTGCACAGAGCAAGCAAAGGCGAGCCCACAGCAAGTGACAAACCTGTTGATGGTGAGGCTGGGGAGAGGAGGAATTCTCCAACAACTCAAAAGCTGGCTGCAGCTGTAGACTCTCCCTATTTGACAAAAGGATTTAACAGCGAGGGAGGGATGCCTTCTGCTTTAAAGCTCAGTTTTTGGTAAGACTCATGCTTGGATAAGAAGAAAGCAACAGAGAGAGACAGCTGCAGAGGTGGACCAGGCTCAAACAAGACTGGGGAACAGAGCAATTCATAGGAGTGACTTCTGTGACTTCAATTCTGAGGTCTTGCTCTGCTCTTTGGAGGGCCCTCACCAAGTAGTTCTGGTCACAAGCAGAGGCAGGACAAAATACAGGCCACATGTGAGCGTGGTGCAGCATTCAGTACTCTGGGACACTGTCCCTAGCTCCTAGTGAAAAATGGGGCCCAGAGGAGCCCAGGAAAGTAGAAAAAGGCAGATAGGGGAAAGGTGAGCCATGGACAGAGGAAACAGGAGAAGGCAAAAAGCAGAGATTCTGACTAAGAGGCAAAGCTGCAGTAAAAGGTGCTGAGAAAGTGAAAAGGGTAACAGAGCACTGAGAAGCTACAGGAGACCATGGAGATCCTCCTTTTGGGCTCTCACACATTTTCCTTAGGAAAACTCCCATAGTACTAACACTCAGACCAGCTATGGATGTACAGCATCAGCTTCTCAAGGGTCCCAGTCTCCGATAATCAAATGCATTGTTCTTGACATGTTGCCAGTTTTAAGGTGACAACTCTTGCAGATGAATAAAAGTGTTTTCAGTTTCTTTTTGGCCACCCTGACATCTCAGTGAGGTGGGATTCACTGTATCAAAGAAACCTATATAAAGCAAAGAGACACAGGCAATTACAGAGCAACTGTGATGCTACTGCTACACCTAATCCAGTTCAAATCTATAGCTCAAACAACCATAATGCCAGATAACACCTGCACACCAATGGCAGTGCTGTAAAACCATGAGTGGCATTTTGACAAAGTCAAGAAAGACCCAGTTCCACTGGATGAAAGAATGGCTGGATGACTGGGCCCAAAAAGATGTGGTCAGTGGAGTTAAATCCAGTTGGCAGCCAGTCATGAGTGGTGTCCCCCAGGGCTCAGTACTGGGGCCACTTCTATTTAACATTTTTATTAATTATTCTGACGAGGGGACTGTGTGCAATCTTAGTAAGTTTGCAGATGACACCAAGTTGGGAGGGAGTGTTGATCTGCCTGAGGTGAGAAAGGCACTACAGAGGGATCTGGATAGACTGGATTGATGGGCCAGAGTAAACTGTAAAAGTTTCAGTAGGGCCAAATGTCGGGTCCTGCATTTTGGTCACAGAAATCCCAGGCAACCCTACAGGCTTGGGAGGAATGGCTGGGAAGCTGCCTTATAGAAAGGGACCTTGGTGTACTGATGGACAGCCAGCTGAGTATGCCCAGGTGGCCAAGAAGGCCAAGGGCATTCTGGCTTGTATCAGGAATGGTATGGTGAGCAGGATCAGGGAAGTAATCAGTGAGACCTCACTTCGAGTACTGTGTTCAGTTTTAGGCACTTCAGTTCAGAGAGGACATTGAGGTGCTGGAGCAGGTCCAAAGAAGGGCAACAAGGCTTGTGAAAGGCTTGGAGAATATGTTCTATGAGGAGATACTGAAGGAACTGGGGCTGTTTAGTCTGGGGAAAAAAAGGCTTAAATGAGACATTATTGCTCTCTTCCAGTATCTGAAAGGTGCTTACAGTAAGAGTGGATTGGTCTCTTCTCACTGGTGACAGGTGACAGGATGAGGAGAAATGACCTCAAGTTGTGTCAGGGGAGGTTTAGGTTGTATATCAGGAATGACTTCTTTACAGAAAGGGTTGTTAAGCACTTGAATAGGCTCCCAAGGGATGTGGTTGAGTCACCATCCCTGAATGTGTTTAAAAACCATCTGGATGTGATGTTCAGGGACATGATTTAGCAAAGGGTTGTTAGTTAGGGTAGTATGGTTAAGTTGCAGTTGGACTTGATCTTTAAAGTCTTTTCTAACCTAAGCAATTCTATGATTCTATGATTCTAAGACCACAGGTGCTTCCTCAGATCCTGAGGTGTGTGTGCTTGTTGTGCTTGGAGCACTGCATGGCCAGTGGTTTGGCACAGCAACAGCTTCTGGTAGCATAGAGACTGCTGACAAGCAGAAGGCTGTCCTGATGGAGCAGAGGACAATCAGTGTCAACCTTGTGAGTACATTGTTCCCTTTTGGAGTGGTCATTACTTTGTATAGCATTTCAGGATTCATAACTGCTAACCTGACAGCCTGTAGCTATTTGGACAAGCCTGCTTGGAAAATGAGAGGCTTTCAGGGCGTCATGTTTCCAGAGAGCTTCTGGTTCCACATATTTTTGCTGCAAATGAACACACACATCTGATCAAAGAACCTTACAATGTTCCACCAGTTCATAAGCATTGACATCACTGATCAATCTGCATCTGTTAATAGGCAGCTGAACAAAAAAGTAACATGGTCCAAACACAATGTCAAAATTGCTGCTGATGACACAGCAAGTAAAAGATTCTGGAGCTAACTTCAAAACATGGTACAACATTTTCCACCAACTTTATGCACTCTGGATATTTTAAGTAGCAGAGAAAGCTTGGACCGTGCCAGCCAGTGCAGCTCATCGTGAAGGGGATCTGAACCTCCTTCCTAAACCAGTTAATATTTTTGTCCTAAGGTTGCCCTTCTTTCCTTGCTCTAAGGTTTGCCCTTCTTTCCTTGCTCTAGCCCTAAAACTCCCGGCCTCTGCTCCTGATCCTTCCCGGTGCTCCAGGTCGCTCTGTCCCTACCCGTCCCCGCCTCCGTGCCCTGCCGTAGTCCTCTACACGGCCGTGGAGCGCCGCGGTCTCGCAGCTCTGGAGGAAGGAGCTCTCCCCGGTGCCGGCAGCTTGAGCGGAGGCCGGGCCGGCGCCCTTCCCTGCATCTCCCGCGGCGGCCCGGCAGGCGGCAGCAGAGCGCCCCTCGGGGCCGCGGCCGTGCCGGCTGCTCTTCGCGGGCCGCAGTTGGGGGCGGCGAAAGGTGCGCTCTGCCCCGCTGCGGGCCCGGCCCCGGGCCTCTCGCTCTGCGGGGCGGTGTGCGGACGGCCAGGGTGCGCCGGTCCGTGTCAGGCCGGGCCGAGGCGGGGTGCGGGAGAGCCCCGGGCGTGTGGGCGCGGAGCGATGTCCTGCAGAGACAAAGGCGCGCGGGTGCGGGGGGGTCGTGAAGCATCCTTCGCCACGCCAGAGCAGACAAAGCGGTAGAGAGGCGGCCCGCACGGCACTGCGCCGCGCCCCCGGGTCTTCCAGCGCTGGGCTGCAGAGCCCTGCCGGGAGGAAGAGGAGGAGGAGGAGGAGGAAGGAGGGTGGGGGTGCGCCTCTGCCGCGGGCAGAGGGAAGCCGCTCTCTGAGCGCGAACCGAGCTCCGCGCCGCCGCCAACCCGCCCGCCTCGCCTCGCCTCGCCTCCCCGTCCCTCCGCCCTCCTCCCTCCCCCCGCCTCCCTCCCGCCGCAGCCGGCCGCGAGCCCGGATGGTTTGCGAGCGGAGTTGAGGGGGCAAACTTTGAAGCCCAGATGCCTCTGGGGCTGAGCGGCAGAGCGCGGCTGCTCCTGCAGGCACCTGCCGCCGCCCTCCCCCCGGCGCTGCCGCCCTCCGCGGGGGCGGCCGGCCCCGCTGCCGGCGGCCGCCGAGGCGGCGGGCGCTGCGGCCGCGGCTGAGGGCGGGCGGCG